TCATGGCAAATGAGGCAGGTGTTGATGGGGGTAATTAGCCACATGTTTCATCTCTTCCTCCTGTTCCTGATTCTCCTTCTTCCTCCAGGGAATAGAAACCAAATGCTGTGTCTTGGATGGCTGCTTGCATGCTTTTTAGACCTTAGGCATCACACAACAAGTTAGGAGGTAGAATAAAAGCATTAAACACATTCTTGGGCCTATTATCTGGGGCCTAACAGGAGTCTTTGACTCCAATCTCAAGTGTACAGGGAAAATGGCATGTCATTATTTCCCATAAATCAACTTGAATCCCATATCAAATACAACATTCCTCAAAAATGGTAGAAAATTCAGTCTTAGTTAAGTTAGGAGATCCTCACTCACACCCTAGGTATAAGCAAAGATCTCAGGACCATAGACAGCCCAAAGCGACTAGATAGACCCATCCTTTAGTTGTTGGTCCATACTGGTTCCACCGAGGTACCCACAAGAGCAGCCTCTTGCAACCTTAGATTAGGGCTGTGCTTTCACCAGTCAACACTGGAGGCCCAGAAATACTAGGAGAAGCTGAGAGTCAGCCTCCCACTCCCATCCTGATATGGCCTCACCTTGAGATGTTACCTGATGTAGCTAAGGCTCCCTGGTGCTCAGAAAACCCACGACCTCAGACTCCTACTGTTCTTTAGCCTGAGGAACATCTCTCCCTCTCAAAAAGCACTTTCCACCTTTCCCTTCCCCTTCCCCTGCCTCCTCAGCTGCCTCCCTCTACTGACTCCTGTTTAGCCTCAGGAAAAGTTAGCTTTTACTGTACAGGATGAGTTGTTAACATCTAACTGAATCTTGACAACAGCTTAAGGGATGGTGTTGCCTTCTCTTTTGCAAATGAGACAAGAAAATCAAAAGACTTGGTTTGTCATTCAGATTGAGGAAGAAAGGGATGACCAAAAACAAAAATAGAGATCAAATTAATATCTCATAAAGTGTCCTGACCCATTGATGTATGTGTACAAATAGAATTCTTTTACCAAACATTATATCCAAAACATACTTCTGTGTCAGAACATACAAATTTCTGGCATTCTTTTCAAAAATGGCATCATGTTCCATTCATGTTTGCAGACTCATTTATTCTAACCATACCACCGACGGACATGTCAGTCCCGTCCAGTGTTTTGCTATTACAGTTTTCCTATTATTATGCTTCCATGATCATTCTTGGAGTCTTGGTGGCACTGTGGGCTAATGCACTGAACTGCAAAGTCATTTGAACCACAAGATTGACAGTTCAAGCTCACCAGCCACTCCTCAGAAACCCTATACAGAGTCACTATGGGTTGGAACCTACTCGACAGCACTTAACAACAAACAACAACAGATGGTCATCCCTGGACTTAATGCTTAAAGTAAAAGAATGAGAATATCTGAATGGCTAGGACAAAGCTCATATGCACTTAAAATTGGAATGATCCAAAACACCACGCCCATTGCCAGTGATTTGATTCCAACTCATAGAGACCCTCTAGACCAGAGGAGAAATGCCTCCACAGTGTTTCCAGGTCTGTCATCTTTATAGAAGCAAACTGTCACATCCTTCTCCCATGAAGTGGCTGGTGGGTTCAAACTACTGACATTTCAGTTAGTAGTCGAGTGCTTAACCACTGTGTCACTTGTTGTTGTTGTTATGTGTCATGGAATCGGTTCCGACTCGGTACAGGGTTTCCAAGGCTGTAAATCTTTACGGGAGCAGAAAGCCTCACCTTTCTCCCATGGAACAGCTAGTAGTTT